GTATGCTCTTTATTGTATTTCCATGCTTCATTCCCTCTTGTATATCTATCTATTTTTTTTCTTGCGGCACAAGCTTTAATTCAATGGCCAGAGAATGGAGAAGTGGGAGTTAAACTTAGATCAATTTCTCATTCTAGAGAAGCCTGGGGAGATTATCGGGGCAACATAATGAGAGGGAGTCCTATGCATTAGTTTTCCAGGAATAGGCAGGTCTCTTTGCAGAACTGGGGCACCATCCCTTTTCTTCCCTTATGGTCCAAGTTGGATCTGTCATGGCACTTGCTATCTGTGTCAGATAGCATGCTGATGCATTATAATTAGGGTACAATGAGGTTCAGGTCTCCTGGAGGTCAGATTCAACGCCATCTTTGTTCAGGCTGGCTCTGGTCAGTTTTTTGTTATTCGAGTCCTCTCCCTTCTTTTGTGTAATTCCAATAAAAATCAACCAACACAGGTGAAACATGATGGTAGAAGTACAAGTCAAGAGAATTGGATTGTATGTTTGCTGACAGTCTGGTGAGAAGCAGGATAGGAACTGGTATCATGTTGATTAGATTACAACATAAAGTGTAATTATATCTTGGCATTTATCTGGTTTGTTAATCATAATGTTCATATATGCACACACCAGGAACTAAGCAATATTCTTAGTATAGTCAGCCTTTTGTATTCTCAGTATCTGTATCTTCTGGCCACCTAATGTAGGTTCAACCAACTTTTGAAGTGATACACAAGCAAATTGGCAAGAAGCACTCATTACTTAATACCAAAAACTTAAAAAAATCTTAATTATATTGTTGCTGGGTAGTAAACCTCTTATATTTCTATGCTTCGATCTGGGATCAATTTACCTCTGCCAGAAGATATTCTTTTAGTATTCCCCTTCCTGCATGCTTTATGGCAATGAATTCTTGATGATTTACTTTATTTCACTTTCGTACAAAATTTTAATTGTTATAGAACTTTATGTTGGTAGTTATTTTCTTTCAGCATTTTGTAGATGTTATTCCATTGTCACCTGGCTTCCATGTCTCTATTGCAAAGTCTGATGTAAGTCTTTTTGTTTCTCCTTTAAATATCTGGCTGATATTCTCGTTGTCTTTGGTTTTCAGCAGCCTTACTATCATATATGCAGGTGTAGTTTTCCCTATATATACTCTGATTTGGGTTAGTAGTTTCTCTGTAATCTGTGGTGTGTTATCGTTGGTAAATTTTAAAAAATCCTCTTTTATTATCTTTTCAAATATTGCTTCTGGGATACTTTTTTCAATCCTGAGATTCCATTTTACAAGTATGTATGACCTTTTATAACCTTCCATACTTCTTTCCCTCTTTGCTTCAGTCTGAATATTTTCTTTTGACATATCTTCCAGTTTATAATCTTCTCTTCAATTGTGTCTAATCTGTTAAACTCATCTACTGACATCTTTTCATAATTTCAATGATTGTATTTTTGTTTTCAAATTTATATTTGATTCTCTTTTATAGATTCCACTTCTCTACTGAAATTGTATCAAGTAATCTATTTCCTAGAATACATTATTTAAAGCAGGGGTCCTCAAACTACGGCCCGCGGGCCACATGCAAATACAAATATTGTATTTGTTCCCGTTTTGTTTTTTTACTTCAAAATAAGATATGTGCAGTGTGCATAGGAATTTGTTCATAGTTCTTTTTTAAAACTATAGTCCGGCCCTCCAACGGTCTGAGGGACAGTGAACTGGCCCCCTGTTTAAAAAGTTTGAGAACCCCTGATTTAAAGTGACTTTCAAGTCTGTGTCTGATAATGCCTATTCTCCTGTGGGTTTTAGATATATATTTAATATATAAGTACATTAAAGAGTATATATATATATATATATATATATATATATATATATATATGTATATATATATATATATATTTATTTATTCTTCAGTTTTCTTTGTAAACTTTTATTCGATTCTGGATACTGTGTATGATAATATTTTAGTTAATTCGAGGCCCTGGCTGATGCCATTTTCCTCCAGAGATTTCCTTTTGCTTCAGGCTGGTAATGGGAAGGAGAGCAAATCAGCTTAACCCAATTTGGATGCTGGGGTTTCACTCTTTGTGATCTATTCACACCTCAGCCCCACTGCTTTATTGTAGGCCTCAGTGCTTTAGCTCAAGGTTCAGGTTATTTATCAGAGCCCCCCGCCCCCACCCCCCCACAACAATTTATCTTGCTGTTGCCCAGTTGTTGTCTCCTCCATTCTATGAGACTCAAAAGCTGTGCTCAGTGTCTTAACTTCTTGTCCATTGCATACATATGGACTGCCTTATATGTATCTCTCACCCTCCCTCCTTCCGTTCTTTCTCTCTTACGCTCCCTCTCTCCATGCACACCCAGAGGAAAGGACACATGGAGGCAGTGAAGAGAGGCTTCACCTGAAATCAACCCTGCTGGTACCTTGATCTCAGACTTCCAGCCTCCAGAATTGTGAGAACAAAAGTGTCTGTTATGTAAGTAACTTAGTCTGTGGTTTTTTGTCATGGCAGCCTGTGCTGAGTAATACACCATACTAATCACCAAATGTCCCAAAGGTAAAGATCACTTCCCTTCTCTCTGGGATCTTAGCTCCTCAGAGAAATTTTTCTGTTTTGGTAGCTGATTTCTTCAAACAGATTTTCACAATATTTCATACAGATTTTCTGGTTGTTCAAAAACCACAATAGGTTTTTTCTTTCTTTTTTTAAAAAAGATATTTCGTTGATTTAGAGAGAGAGAGGAAGGGAGAGGGAAAGCGAAACATTGATGTGATAATGCAACATTGATTGGCTGCCTCCTGTATGCTCCCTATTGGGGATAGAGCCCAGAACCTGGGCATGTGCCCTGACCAGGAATCGAACCAGCAACCTTTCAATGCACAGGACAATGCCCAACCAACTGAGCCACACCGGTCAGGGCCACAGTAGTTTTATAATTTGCTTTAAAAAATTTATCATCTATGAGCATCTTTTCCTGTTATCAACTACTCTGGTTTTTTTACATATTTAAAATATGTACATAACCTTTCATTACATGAGTGGGCCATAGTCTAATTTCTTATTGTAACACATTTAGATACTGTATCAGTTCTAAATTATATATTTTTCACACATTATTAAGTCTAAAGCCAGGATGTGTCTTCCATCCACAATCGTTTAATGTGTATGTAGCACATAGGATGTTATATTTAGTCATTGATACTGTCTTAGAGTTGTTGATGGATCTGAACACTGCTACCCAAAGTCACACCATAGCCAACAATTTGGGGCTTGATTCCCATTGTCCATCGCTGTCTTGGAAGGGGCTGGTTCCTGAAGGCTCCCCTCTCCTGGAAGCACAGCTTGCGTTGGCCATTCTACCTAGGGATCCTCTGGCAGAGGAGGGCCACAGTCCAGATTCCAGGGTGAAAGGGACCACACCCTTGGACCTGGCTGAGAGGGGAGGTTGGCTCTGACCTTTCACGGAGAGACTCCGTCAACCTGCGACAGGACAACTCCATTTTGGGGAACCCCCTTCCCTCTCCTAAATGTATCTCTGGCCAAGAAATTGAATTTTTAAGAGTCAAGGTGGTTTGTGAAATTAGAGACCATGAAAACTTGGCTCTATGGCTTAGAGATGTTAACAGGAAATGAGTGGAACCTAGTTGGCTCGGTCTTAGGCTGGAAGTGGTTCTGTCACTTAAATTCAAACCCAGGCCCTGCTATTTCCTAGCTGCCTGATCCTGTGCAGTCCACCCTCTCACTAAACCTTAGTTTCCCAACTGACAACATAGGGATCACGACTTCAACTTTCTGAGGCTTTAATAGGATGATGCAAGCTCGGTACCAGGCTTGGCACACTCTGAGTGATAAATGTTGGCCATCACTGGCCCATTCCTCCTGAGAGCATTAGGATTACAGGCAGGGAGGATAGGAAGAGCCAGGGCTTTCTAAGAACGTGCATCCCAAAGTACTGAAAGGACCTCCTAACTGTGGCCCCTCTTCTCCAGCACATTTCCAGTGTCCACCCGAGCACCCACCTGGTCCATCTTGGCGGGGGGTCTAACCCTGGGTTTGCCCTGATCGGTAGGGCACACTGGTCACTGTCAATGACCAACTGTCTGCTTTCAAATCCCAGTTGTATAAACCCTGGGGCCTCAGGTATGGAATTCACCCTCTGAGCACCTCAATTTCCTCACCTGTGAAATGGGCTGCTGTGAGGATTGGGTACAGAGTACTAGCATCTGGTGCAGGGTGTGCACTCCAGAAAAGTTAGCAGAATAGTCACCAGAGGATCTCCTTCACCCAGCGCACCACCTCCCCCAGGTGCTCAGCTTTCACTTGCCAGGTTCAGAAGCCTCAAATGGGGACCAGCCAACAGGAGAAGAGGAAGCCTCAGAGGGAAGCCGGGCTAAGGTCAGAGTGAGCAGTGGACAGAGAAGGACACTCTACACCCCCAATCCTTGCTTATGCCTCTGTCCACCTGCACCTCGGGGTGACGGCCAGACTTGAGCGTGTGTGGGCTTCACAGTGAACAAACGCAGTGTCCCCGGTGGACGGAGCCGCTGGAGGGTCAGCCTTGGCCCGCCCTCTCGGTTCCCTCTGCAGTCCTTCGTGACCTGGCATTTGGCACCTGGGTGAGGGCACCTTTTCCAGGCAGCACCCTGGCCGGGGGACCCCAAGCTAGTGCGCCTGCCCTGGCCCCCGACTGCGCACCTGGCCCGGCCTCAAGGCCTACCTCTTTGTAGGCCATTTCCCTCCCCAAACCCTCCCCAGCTCCACGTCCGGGGCGACCCCGCCCTGCATGCCCCGAGGGCCCCGGAGGTCCCAGCGCGCCCTACCCCCACCCCTCAGTGCCTGAGCGCCCCCCGGTGTCGGGGCGCGGGGATGGCGCGGGGCTCCGCCCCGTGACGCATTCCCAATCGCCGGGAACCTCGGCCCGACCGGGCGCGCGCTCCATGCCCCGGGCGCGCGCGTCGTGCACGCGCGCCCGCCACGTGACCTCGCGTCGGCCAACTGGCGCGCCAGGATTTGGGGGGCAAAGCGCGGCCCCGCGAGCAGTTGCGGCGGGAGAGCGGCGGGCTGAGAGCGTGACTCGCCCGCTCCCGCGCTGCCTAATTCCCTGCCGCCGCCCCACCACCCGCAACCGCGCGCAGCCATGTCCGAGGAGAAGCCCAAGGTAAGGGCCGGTGGGCGCGGGCCGGGCTCCGCGGTCGGCCCCCGCCCGCGCCGCTCCCTGCAGCCCCCTCCGCGCATTGGGCGCTCTCCGCGGCTCCGCGCGGCCTCCGAGGCCAGGGACCGCGGCGCCGGCTGGGCCTCCCCGCGCCCGGGCCTCCCGCCCCTCCCCCCGCAGTCGCGCCGCTGGGCTCCCCTCCCCCCGCCCGGCCAGGCTCCGCCCTGCCCCGGCCCAGGCTCCGCCCCCACGACCCAAGCCGCTCCGCCCTTCGCTTAGGCTCCGCCCTTCGCCTCGGCCCCGCCCCCGGCCCCAGCCGCTCCCACCCCCGACTTAGGCTCCGCCCCAAGTGCTCGCGCCCGGCCCCACTGCTTCCCCCAGTTCCTCGCGCGCTGCTGGACCTCTCGCCCCGCTTCCCCGGCTCGGATCCGCGGAGCCTACGCGGAGCTCCGAGGTGGAGCGGGGCGACCCCTTGTCGGGGCCCTCCTCGCCCTGGTCCCCCGCAACTGCCGCCCCTTACCCGCCGGGACACGTCGTCTTCGGGACCTCCCGGCCGCATCCAGATTCCCTCTCCCGGGAGTCTCCCGCCGGGGACCCTATTCTCTTCCCGTTCGGACCCCAGTTGCGGGGATTTCGGACACACTCTCCCGCTCCCGCCATGACCCCTCTCGGGGACCGCCCCCAAGACCTTCTCCATTGCGGGGGCCGACCCCCCACTACGCCCCTCGCTGGGGGACCCACGTCTGCGATTCTCCGGGCGGTGTGTAGCCTGGTCTGTGCGCGCTGCCACCTTTACCATGCAGCCCTCCGCCTGCCGCTCCGCCGCCCGCCCGGCGCTGTGCGCCCGCTCTCCTCTGCTGTCCCCCAGGGTGCGCCCGCTCTCCTCTGCTGTCCCCCAGGGTGCGCCCGCCGGCTTCCCTATCGCTGTACCCGCCGGTCCCTATGGCGCCCCCTGGTGTGCACTTCTCTAAGACAGCGATGTTTTGTTTTGTTTTGTTAATCCTCAACAGAAGATAGTTTTTCCATTGATTTTTAGAGGGAAAGGGAGGGAGGGAGGGAGGGAGAGAAAGAAACATCGATGTGAGAGAGACACATGGATTGGCTGCCTCCCGCACACGCACCAACCAGGCCTGATGGAACCTTTCAACCCTCAACTGGAAGTCGATCCAGGACCCTTCAGTAGGGAGGCTGATGCTCTAACCTCCGGCCAAGGTTCTTTTTTAAATTTTCTACTTATTTTTTCTTTTTAGAGCTCCCCCCACCCCCAGGGCTTCTTTAAAATTTTATTTATTTATTTATTGCTTTTAGGGAGAGAGAGAGAGAGAAACATCGATTTGTTGTTCCATGTATTTACGCATTCATGGGTATGTACCCTAATGCAACCTTGGCTATGCCAACCAACTGAGCTACCCAGCCCGGGCCTAGCACAGTGATTTTCAACCATTTTTAAATCTCACAGTACACATAAACTTATCGCTAAAATTCTGCGACACACCAAAAAATACATGTTTTGCCAAACTGACCAAAAAATAGGTATAATTGTGATTCATTCACACCAGATGGCTATTGGGTTTGCTGTTGTCATTGTATTTGACAATCTAAGGGAAAAGAGGTCAGTGCCCTGACTAAATAGTCAGGTATTGCATGTTTTAAAAATTCTTGTGGCGCAGTGGTTGAAAATTGACGCTCTAGGGCAGTGGTTCTCAACCTTCTGGCCCTTTAAATACAGGTCCTCATGTTGTGACCCAACCATAAAGTTATTTTTGTTGCTACTTCATAACTGTAATGTTGCTACTGTTAGGAATCGTATGTAAATATCTGATATGCAGGATGGCCGTTCGGCCGCCAAAGGGGTCGCAACCCACAGGTTGAGAACAGCTGCTCTAGGGTTTTGGCTGTCAGTCTGTGGGGAGGTCCACAGCTGTTGTGCTAACTACTCTTATTAAAAACACTAGAGGCCGGGTGTATGACATTCGTGCACTGGGAGGGGGAGGGTCCCTCAGCCCAGCCTGTGCCCTTTCGCAGTCTGGCAGCCCTTGGGGGATGTCCAACTGATGGCTTAAGAATGTCCAGCAGTTGGGCATCCTTAGTGCTGCCATGGAGGTGGGAGAGGCTCCCGCCACTGCCACTGAGCTAGCCAGTTGGCAGCCTGGCTTGTGGCTGAGCAGCACTTCCCCTGTGGGAGTCAATGACCACCAGGTGGCAGCTCCTGTGTTGAGCATCTGCCCCCTGGTGGTCAATGTGTGTCATAGCTAATGGTTGTTCCACAGTTCAGCCGATTTGCATATTACCCTTTTATTATATAGGATAGGAAGGATGCTTCCAAAGCTTTTGGTCTGCACTGTCAGAGTTTGTTTATTGACCAAGAGGAAGATCTGCTGTTGAGTTGAATGCTTTGCACACAGGCTGCCTCTGATACCAGCCTGGTACTAGAGATTGCAGCCCTCAAGCATGTCACACTCGCAGGCATGCCTCGCTTAAGTATTTAAGTAAACAAGGCGTGTGCCCGCTGGCTGAGGGTGGGAGCCAGCCCCCTCCCTGCCCTGCCTTGAGTCAAGATTGCACTGCACTTGGAGCCGCCTTTGCTTTGTACATTTTGGTTCCAACTCAGCCTTTTATACCACTCCTCTCAGCCTGGTCATTGGGCCAAATATAAATGCCTTTCTGTGTTTTCTGGGTGGCTTCCTCTTACTGCAGTTTACATACAGTGAGATACACACTGTACTCATTTCTCCAGTGGGTTTAAACTTAACTCTCCCACATGGTCAACTTCCATGGTCCTTTCAGTTGAACAAACTTGTTTGACCCGTGTCCAACATGACTAAACAGTGTGCAGTGCCCTTTGTGCCTGCTGAGGGGCCCTCTGCTCTGGACTCGGCGAGGAGGGGGCAAGGGCCCCAGCCCTCCAGCTGGGAGGGAAGGGGAGCGATATGACTCCTCCACAAAGCCAGCAGCCCTGGCCAGGAGCCCTGTGGTGGTCAGCTCTTCTGGGGATGCACCAACAAGGGAGCATGTGTGTCAGCTGGAGGAAGTACAGAATCACTTTGCGTTCCATCAAATCTTTATTTTCAGATTGACTTGGGTCAGTTTCATCATTTTGCTCAAAGATAAACTCTTTACTCCCAAACAGTTAGTGCCAGATAAATGAGGTGGCTCTGTGACTGCAGGACCCTCACTGGCGCTGCACCCTGCGGCACGTCACTCTGGTTCGTAGGAAATGCTTCTCAGACTGAGCTGCTGCTGCAGGACACAGACCTGTGGCATCCATTCCGTGTGTGGTTGCTCAGGAGCTGTGAGTGAGCCAGGAATTCCGTAAGATAAAGTACTGTGTGTCCCTGGCCAGATGGGGCTGATTGAACTACATGGCGTCGGCAGCTAGAAGGTGGAAGGTGCTGCTGCTGCGCAGTCCGCTCCCCCAGGAGGACGGGCATACCATGGTTTCCCTCTGGCTTCACAGAGTCATCTGTGGCTGACGTGGACTTTAGTTTTTTCTAGATTTATTGAACAGATTTTTTTTCTTTGAATTACCAGCCTATGAACTCTGTAGATTTGCATTGCATTTCCTTACACATGGATGCTTAACAAGTAGAAGTGAAAAATAATTTCTGTGTACAAATAAAACCGTCACATGAGTGACTGGATTGCTGGAGAGTTTTCAGAATTAGGTTGCTTTTTAATGACTTAAAAAAAAAAACCTCCAGCAATTACCTAAAGATGTGCCCTTTAAAAGAGTGGTTATTTTGGGACACGGCGTTGAGGCCTAGTGTCATGTCTCTTGCAGGAGGGAGTGAAGACAGAGAATGACCACATCAACCTGAAAGTGGCCGGGCAAGATGGCTCCGTGGTCCAGTTCAAGATTAAGAGACACACCCCACTGAGCAAGCTGATGAAGGCCTACTGCGAGCGGCAGGTGTGCCTGTGGGCTGGGTGGGACTCTGCTGTCACCCCATGTCCAGGCTGTTCAGGGCTCCACTGTCCTGGAAGTGCACATGTGTGTCTGCACATGTGTGCATTGCTGTGCATGCTTATTTGTGTGTGTGCATGTATGTGTGTCTGCACATGTGTGCATTGCTGTGCATGCTTATTTGTGTGTGTGCATGTATGTGTGTCTGCACATGTGTGCATTGGTGTGCATGCATATTTGTGTGTGTGCATGTATGTGTGTCTGCACAAGTGTGCGCACTCCTTGGTGGTCTTCTCTCTTCAGCCCTCTTCATCTCCAGGTTGTGCCCATCAGCTCTTGCTTCAGCAGGCCAGGCACAGTGCTGCCTCTTCCTCTGGGGGTGGAGCGTGACCACATGTCTGCTCTTGGATCAGTGTTGTGCGGCTTCCTTCCTGGGAGATTGCAGAACAGGGAATTTGAGTGCAGGTCCATGGCTCCTTCACACGGTAGCTGGAAAACGCTGTGGAGACACATCCCTCATCACAGTTTGGTTTCCACAAAATGCTTGATTCTTCCCCTTTACTTACCAGTTTTCAAAGTAATGAGCTGACTCACTTGTGTCCTCCCACAGTGACCAGTTAAATTGAGCCTTTTCAGTTGTGATTGTCATGAACTTACAGCTCAAATGCATCTGTGCTTCATCCCTGCGTCTGTTTTGCTCTCATCATGCTCCATGGACTCACCTTTGGTCCTGGCCTATCCCCTCCACCTGGGCCCCTCACTCAGTGGGGGAGGGACCTCACTGCTGTGGTGTGATAGGTGCCCTGTCCTCTTCCCCAGGGAGTTCTGGGTGTGCGTGCTGCTCCTCACGTTTCACTCCAGCCCGGAGCTCCCTCTGCCTGTGGACGGCACAGCTCCTGGCCGCTTGGAGTTGGCGGCCCTGACTTGGGGTCTGATAGGAACTTCTAGGCATCATCCAAAATCAGCTGCCTGCTGCACCTCTGCCTCCCAGACCGTCTGTGCCTGCCCCTCCCCTCTCAGGGCTGCATCTTGTTGGCCCCCCTCCCACCCAGACCTTGGGGTCCAGCATCCGGGCTTTGGAACTTGCAGCCCATCAGTAGCACCTTTTTTCTGCTGGCTCGTCCCCTCTTCTGTTCTTTGTCCTGCTGACTATGCCTTTTTAATTTCTTTATTGATTTTTTTAGAGAGAGAGGAAGCGGGGGGGGGGGGGGGGGGGAGAGAAACATTGATGCGAGAGAGAGACAGATCGGTTGCCTCCGGCATGTACTCCAACTGAGGATTGAACCCGAAACCCGGGTAAGTGCCCTGACTGGCAATGTAATTGGCAACCTTTTGGTGCACGGGACGACGCTTAACTAACTGAACCACACTGGCCAGGGCATCTTTTTTATTTTTTGTCTTTTCAGCAGGGTTTCAGGAGGAGCCGAGATGTATGTTTTAATCCCATCTCTCCTGTTTAAGCAAAATCAGAGCTGCTTTTAAAAGGGCAATGTCTTTGCACCCTGACCATGTTTACCATTCCCTCAAGATGCAGAAAGTCTGCACGTGCTCCTTTTTGGATGGAAAATGCCTTTCCTCCTGCCTTTCTCAAGGCCACAGCCATCGGGACTGCTTCCAGTTTCGTGCAGTCTTGTCACATGCCTCTGTCACCTGACCTGTTCCTGTTTCTCTCTGAGAATTTTTTAAAGGGGGAAGGTGGTGGTGCCAGCAGTTAGGAAATCCTGCTTGGCTTCTGGAGGGAAGTGAGAGGGACCAGTAGGGGCAGGTGCCTGGAGCTATAAGTCGCTAGAACAATAGTTTCTGAAGGTGCTGGTGTTGGCCTCACATTAAATGCATTGTAGGCCCACCAGTAGGTTTATAATCCACTGGATCATCCATCTGCACATTCAGAACCCTCAGTCCATGTTCTATTTCGTGTTTTTAATGTCTGTTATCTATTGACTTGCATTCTAGTTATTCCTTTAGCCCTGTTATTCGCTTCACAAAGTCTCTTTTCAGCTGTGTCCGATTTGCTGTTTCAGCTGTCATTGAATTTCTAATTTTAATTTCTAAAATTTCATGTGCTTTTCAAGAAATGATTTCTTGCTAATTTTTGATAAACTCTTAAGCAAAGATATTTTATATTACTTTTAAAAAATTATTCTAAATATCCACTTTTTGTAGGTATATTAATACTAAAGTATATTCTTCAAGTTTGTGACATTTTTAAAAGGGGAACTCAAGTGCCTTGAAACTTTATTCTTGAAATTCACTGAATCCTGGTTTAATTAAAGTGTGCTACTCAGCAAAGAACTGTGTTTGCTTTCTGCAGCATGTATGGGGCCTTTACAACCTGAGGACCCATTAAATGAAAAAACGGTTTTTGGCCTTAGCCGATTTGGCTCAGTGGATAGAGCGTCAACCCACGGATTGAAGGTGCCAGGTGCCATTTGGTCAAGGGCACGGACCTGGTCAGTGTGCGTGCAGGAGGCAACCAATCGATGTGTCTCTCCCTCTCCCTTCCATTCTCTCTAAAAATCAATGAAAAAATATCCTCTGGTCAGAATCTTGGTATTTTGGTGTAAATATTTGATGTTTTTGAATTAATGCATAACCTAGAAATATTTAATTATATTTGCCTTTTCTTTTCAGGGCTTGTCAATGAGACAGATTAGATTCAGGTTTGATGGGCAGCCAATTAATGAAGCAGACACCCCGGCCCAGGTATGAAAGCAGCTTCCAAATCTTGAGGCCATTTCAACCTGCATTTGACTAATTGCTGTTTGAAATATTCTTGTTGGGGAGCTACTGATGGGTGTTCATATGGGATACCTTACTTTTTCTTAATGTTCTTAGTTATTAGAGTATTTAACATATTAATTGGGCAGTTCAGTGTTTCAGATGAGAATGATGCCCTTTGTTGGACGTCCTCCAGGCTGGGAGGTGCAGCGGGTGGCCTGGGGGCTTATCAGAGGGGTCCAGGCAAGATGGGCAGAGGCACTCACACCCCCTGGTGGTTTGGACATGGAATTTGTAGTGTTAGTCAATTTGTGGCTAACTTACTGGCTTGCTTCTTGTGCCCTGTAAGCATTTGTGCATAGGGGTATGGATGGAAAGTAGTGTGTACCCCTTCATTATCGGTCAGGAGTTAGCTTTTGCTAAGCCCGTGACACGTCCCCCCCTCCCCCCAACAGTCTCAGTGTTGGCCCAGCATGTTGCATTGCATGGCCCCACAGTGAAAAGTTTCGGATGGAGTTGGAGGCCGAGGTTCAGTCTGGTTCTTGTCATTCATCAGCTGGATGACCTGTGATCCAGAGTCACCTACTATTGGGGTCTCACTCAGTCTTGCCCTTCACAGAGGCAGAATCCATTGGGCTGGCACATGTAAAAGAGCTACATATTTCTGCTCAGTTGAGGAACTCTGCTGCTGAGATGGTGGTTGGCTTTGTGAGGATTTCTGGGGGCTTGCACTGGGGTGGGGGGCTGGAACGCTCTTCTCTGGCCTGTCACTCTGGCTCCTGTTCAGGTAGTGTCCACAGCAGCACAGGGCCCGCTCACCCGGACCTACTTCCCTGTTTTTGAGAACGTTTCTGAGAAATGTTACTGCCTCCAGCCCTGTTTAGTGTCTGTGATTTGGCAGAAGTTCTTTTGACCCGAGAATGGACAGAGATCAGGGCAGATGTCCATTCCCGTGTTTTCAGGAGCAGCAGGTGGGGAGCTTTTGCCCATCTCTGGCCTGGTCTTGAAGGGAAGGGACGGGGATCAGGGGGACAGCCAGCAGCCGGTCCCTTACCAAGGGTTCTTCTTTTCTGACTTGGTTTGCTTTGAAATCGCCATCCACTGCACCTGCTATGAAGTGCATGGCTGGCCCCTGCTAGTCCTGAGGACTTAGCACCACTCTGTGGTTGTTCCTAATTGGGATCTGATTTTGTGTAATTTTCAGTAACAATTTCAGATACTTGTTCATTTTTTAATGAAACCTAGTTTTTCTGTCACTTAAAGTTAGTTTTGAATATTCTTTTGTGAATTTTGTTAGGGGAAGGTTGCAGAATAGTAGCTTATTGGAAATCCTAAACAAAGCCTCTTCTCCCTGATATGACCTAGCGACCCCGGAGCAACCCACAGAGCAAAGGTGTGGTGGGGTGTTGTGCGCCGGTGCGAGGGAGACAGTGCAGTGGACATGTGTGTTCAGTTGAACAGTTTTTGTTCCTGTGATGGCGAGAAAACTAACAGATTTCCCCTCTCTCACTGTGCCTGTCACGTCGACCCTGCCAGTTGGAGATGGAGGATGAAGATACCATCGATGTGTTCCAGCAGCAAACAGGAGGCTCACGGGCGACTGGCTGCCTCTTGGGATGTGGTCTGTAGAGGGACCGGCCCACTTTGTCACCGTCCTTGCATTTGCTGTTGAATAGTGAACACGTGACCATGCCAATCACAAAGGAGTCTGCAGGAACCAAGGACATCCACAAAAATTCCTTTCCTCTCTGACATACTGCGGGTGCAACTCAAAACTGTCTGCAGGGACGAATCCTTACCTGAACCGGGCCAGCCAGTGTCATGTTTGTTTAGGAAAATGAGTTGCAAGGTTTTGGGGGTTTGCTTTTGCTCTCATTTTTGTCTTTCCCCCTCTCACAACATTTCCCTGAAGCTTGTTGTGTGAATGTCCCTTTTTAGTCTAGACAGGGATCTTATCCCAGGTATTGAGTAAATCCCCCTGCGTATTCCATTGTAGAGAGCTCACATCATCAAAGTGGGGGTGCTTCGGTGGGCCGTTTTGGGGGCATTGTGGGGAGACAAACTTCCACTTACTGTTTCTTGTAGGTCCACATCCTGTCTTGTAGGTTTTTTCAATGCTAAATATTGCAAGTTTAAGTTTTGTGAGAATATGGTAAAGTTGAAGGGAGAATACTGGAATGCTTTTTAAAGTAACTGAGTCCCTCAGTAGCACGGGCCTGGCACTCTGTTCCTTTAGCTCCCCTTGGGCAGGGGCAGGCCCAGGGCCCCTGATGGTGCATGGGCAAAGCAGGGTGCAGCAGAAATTGGCTTTTCCCCTTCTTTTTTTTTTTAATTTTTGAATTACAGTTTATATTCAATACTATTTTGTATTAGTTTCAGGGGTCCCCTTTTAATAGAGGAAAGCAATTGCCATGCTTCTCACTTGGCAGTAGTACTGTGGCCTCAGATTTCTTCCAGTGTTTGCTCTGATGAATAATTATGGTTTCTATATAACAAAGTACGATTAAGTATTGCTGATTTTGCAGTGACTTTTTTTCTGTCAAAGAGCTACTTCAAGTGTGGTTACAGATGGGCCCTGTGCAAAGATGACTTCACGTTGTTCTCACGGATGTGCTCTGCCGCTTTCCTGACATTAGCTGTGATTTCATTTCTATGAAACATTTTGGAACCTATACCTATTAAACCTTCAGTTCTCCTGCCCTTCTGTATGGAACCCCTGCTGCCTGATGGGCCTGCTCTGCCTCCTGGTACCCGAACAGTGCGACCTGGACCATCATCTCTTGCTTGCCCGGAATCTTGCCTTTCCTTTGTGTTTTGCTGTTGGGGTGTGGATGTGGTGTCTGCTGGCTCTGCTGTTTGTTCACAATTTGTACATTCTTTGTTGTCCTTTACTACTGTAAACAGTAAATATAGTTTGATATTCTGTCTCTTGTATTAAATATTACATTTGGAGTTTGCGGCTGACTGTCACAATTCAACATCTGTAATGACCATTCAGCAAGGCCAGAGTTTTGTTTAAAGGCTAGTTGCTGAAAAGTAAGTATTCATCTGTTGCCTCCCCCACTCCCTGCATTCCTGGCAGAGCGCCTGTACTGGGCTGGCACCTCCTGAGTCGTCCACACACTCACGTATCCCAGAGCTCTCCCATGGGGTAAGCTAAACTGGCTTTGTGATGCCGCGTGTAAAGGGTGGGTTTTGGAGGCAGCTGATTTGGACATCCGTAGCCTCTCAAGTTGTTTGGTGCCTTACTGTCCGACTAGTTTTCTTCTGTGTGATTGACAACCTTGCTTGCTTTGCGGCTGAGTGAACTGCTGCTAATTTGACAGAACTTCCCAGGGGACTGTGCTGTGACAAAACCAGGTTTGAAAACGACCTAGCTGTTTTAGTTAGTCCTTCAGGTGAGGTTAGTACAAACTGAAAGATGAAGGGGAGCTGGGATATAGCACGTCCACTCTCGCACCTGATCATTTACACCAGCCACAGAAGATGGGTTCCAGCACATTACAGGGACTGAGTAATTTGCTAGGTGCCCCGGAGAGTGGAGGTGGGGGCACTGCATCCGCAGAGAAGCCCCTGCACTCCTCCCTCAAGCTAGGAGAGGAGAGACAGGCTGAGTTTGGGACATCAGAGCAGTGCTGCTTGAATTCCCACCCACTGCACTGACTGTAGATTGAAGAAAGAACAGGGCATGTCCTTGAGGTTATCTTCTCTCTCAAAATTTATGCAAATTGTGCATTTGGAATAATACCTCTTGGTATTAATATTTTAAAAATATTTATAGGCCCTAGTTGGGTAACTCAGTTGGTTAGAGCGTCCTCCTGCTATGCCAAGGTGGTGGGTTCGATCCCCAATCAGGGCACATAAAAAACCAACCAATGAATGCATAAATAAGTTGAACAACAAATCGATGTTTCTCTTTTCCTCTAAAATTAAGAAAATGAACTCCTAGGATCTTAGAGTTAAATTGATGCTTCAGGAGGAGACGGGCACTATTTATCCTGCCAGTGGTGCCAGGGTCCCAGCGGGCAAGGCCCCATTTCAGCACTGAAAGGCCCTCATCCCAGGAACCTCCCTCCCAGGAAGACCCCAGTAGGTGTCACCTGCCGTGCCGCACAAGCTCCCAGCTGGGGAAGCAAGATACTGAGGTTAAAACTACCTTCAACCGGGTTCAGCTGTGAGAGGCCTTGCATACTTCAGAACGTTAGTTACCAAAGATATAAAACACACTAACCTCATCCTGAACTTGGCCTCCCCCTGTGATGGCCCAGGAAGCCCTCACATACCATGCCTGCTCCTTAGAACCCAGGTCTTGCTGGTCAGCGGGCTGGCCGAGGCTGGGGGCCCCGGGCCCCCCCAGGTCCCTCCCTCCGTGGGGCCGAGTCTGGGCACCCCGAGTGGTGGCCGCGCTGGCAGAAAAAACCCGCCACCATCGCCAACCCGCCTTCCAAACCCAACCCCGGTCGGAAGGCATTGGGGGCGTCACTGTCTTAGGAGCCGGTCTCCTTTGGCTGCCATTGCGCCGCGTCAGGACCTGGCTCCTAGCGGCGGTGGCACCACCGATGGCAGCGCCTCCATTCCGGCCCCCTCCTCCCGGTGTCTTGAAAAGACCCCCTGCCCTGGCTGGTGTAGCTCAGTGGGTAGAGCCAGGGCCTGCGGACTGAAGGGTCCCGGTTGGATTCCAGGCAGGCGCACGTGCCCGGGTTGCCGGCTCCGTCCCCAGTAGGGGGCCTGCGGGAGGCAGCCGTCAATGATTCTCTCTCATTGATGTTTCTTTCGCTCCCTCTCCCTTCCTCTCTGAAATCAATAAATATATATTTTTTTAAAAGTCCCCATCTAAACGACGTCTGCCCAGCTCGCGTCCCCAGCTCGGCCGTCGCGCCGTCCTTCGTCCCCGTCCTCCACTGGACCCTCCTGCGGCCGCCGTGACGGAACAGGCGGTTACCAAGCACCCGACCCTGGAATCTCCGGGAAGACCAGGCGCCGCAGGAACGGGGGCTGCTAGAAGCGGCTGGAACCCCACAAAGCGGCCGCAGGGCCGAGCCGCCCGGGACCACGGGCCAGAGACGCGCGACCCCCTCCCCGCGACGGTCCCGCTCCGCCCCTTTCTGCGAGCCCCTCTCACTTCCGCGCCTGCCCCGCCCCCGCGCGCGCCCCGCGACCCGGAAGGGCTTCTGTGCTCCCGGCAGCGACCGGAAGTAACCCCGTCCTCGGGCGGGAGGATACGAGCGGTTAGCGGCGACGTCCGACGGCACAGCTGTTTCCCCGACGATGGCGGGGACGGCGCTGAAGAGGCTGATGGCCGAGTACAAACGTGAGTCTGGGGCCTGCCCGCCGCCGAGCCTCATGTCGGGGTGGCGCCCCTCCGTCCCTCCTTCCGGCTCCCTGCTCTGCGCCCCGTCCCCAGTCCGTCGTTGCTCCTAGAGGCCTGGGCGGAGTGCGGGGCAGCGGACTCCTCACCCCACGGGCCTGCCGGTTTGTTCACGGTCAGCGGGCGGAGGCGGGGGCGGGGCCGGGAACCGCAGTGGTCTCCGGCGCCCTCCGCCGCCCTGCCCGCCGCCTCCTTGTAAGGAGGACGCCTTAAAGGACAGAAGTGAACGTTACTGCTGCGCTGGTTCAGAAATGCTTCAGTGACATTCAGTCGTCGTTGGTTTGTTTTCTTTGCCCATTTTAGTAATGTGGTGACTGCCTAATTCCAGCCTTGCCCACATGCAGAGAGAAGGGGAGGGAAGCCTAAACTGCGTAATGAGAAGTTTTTTTCTTTCTTTAAAAAAAAAAAATTTTTTTTTATTGATTTCAGAGAGGAAGGGAGAGGGAGAGAGAGCTACAATCATTGATCATTGATCGGCTGCCTCTTGTATGCCCCTATTGGGGATTGAGCCCGCCGCCCGGGCATGTGCCCTAAACAGGAATCCTAAGGTGACCATGAACCTCCTGGTTCATGGGTCGATGTTCAACCACTGAGCCACACCAGCGAGGCCATACCAAGAAGTTTGTTTTTGTTTTGTTTTGGGGTTTTTTTGCCTCAAAAAATTTTTTTAATGTTTTATTGCTTAACGTATTACAAAGGGTATTACATATGTGTCCTTTTTTCCCCCCGCCCTTGACAATCCCCTGGCCTCCCCTGCCCCCCCAGTGTCTTATCCTACCGAGACGTTTTTTATAAAAAAGTGTCTTAAGAGAAAGAACGTATTGTGATGAGTCTGAGTGGTTAGTCCAATACCTTTTTTATATACTTACTTTTCCAGTGAGAGTTACTCTTTCATATGTGTTCTTGTTACTAACACCCTTTCTTTTTAGCTTGAAGAAGTCCCTGTACTGTTTCTTGTAACGTCTGATTGGTGGTGATGAACGCCTTTAGCTTTTGCTTGTCTCCTTCATTTCTGAATGACAGTTTTGCTGGGGAGAATATTTTTGGTTGGCAGGTTTTTTTCTGTCAGCCTTTGAATATATCGTGACACTCCCTTCTGGCCTGTAAAGTTTCTGCTGAAAAATCTGTTGCTAGTCTATCTGTCTCCTTATTGGTAGGAGACAAGCCGATCAATGATTCTCTCATCTTTGTACACAAGAAGTATTCTCTTGCTGCTTTTAAAACTTTTCTTGATTTAACTTTCGACACTTTAGTTATAATGTGTCTTGGGTTCCTCGTGTTTGGAACTCTCTGAGCTTCCTGAATCTGGGTGTCTATTTTCTTCTCAGGGTTAGGAAAGTTTTCAGCCATTATTTCTTCACATAAGATTCCTTCCCCTTTCCCTCTCCTCCTGGGAGAGCTATGATGGAAATGTTAATCCATTTGATGTCCCATAATTCCTTTAAACTTTCTTCATTTTTTAAAGTTTTTTTTTCTTTTTGCTGCTCTGATTGGGTGAGTTCCACTACTTTGTCTTCAAGTTGACAAGTTGGCTTATCTTTTCTGCTTCATCTAGTCTGCTCTTGAACTCCTCTAGTATATTTTTTAGTTCAGTCAACGAGTTTTTTTAGCTCTGTGACTTCTGTTGGTATTTCCTATGTTTCCCATCTCATTGTTGAAGTTCTTACTTTGTTCATCCATTTTTCTCCCCAGGTCAGCAAGCATCTTTATAACCATTACTTTGAATTCATTATCATTTATTTATCTCTATTTCATCAAGTTTTTTCCTGAAGTCTTACCTGTTCTTTCATTTGCAGTATATATTTCTCTGTTTCTTCATTTTGCTTGACTCTGTGTTGGTTTCTGTACAGTAGTAGAAACAACCACCTCTCCCATCTTGGAGGGAAGTGGCCTCTTATAGGAGATGAACCTTGTCATTCAACCCTGTCATTCAGCTCTTAGTTGTCTTTCAAATTTTTGTGCTTGTCCAAGCCGTAGTTGAGTGTGGTCAGTGTCCTGAAGGAAAGGGTCTCACCTCCTGGATTCAGGCTAGTTGTAAGCCACGCTCTCAGGCAGCAGCTTTTAAAAGTAGGCAAATATATATATATAAAGAGCCAGGGGCCATCGCGACCAAATGGATGACCGAACAGGCTGAGTGGGGCAACAAGGCCGGCAGGGGGGTTAGTGAGTGGCAACCAAACAGCCGAACAGCAGGCTGTGTGGAGCGACCAGGCCGGCAGTGGGGGCAGTGAGCGCTGACCAGGCCGGCAGAGGGGGGCAGTGAGGGGGGCGCAGTGGCAGCAACCAGGCCGGCAGGGGGAGCAGTTGGGGGCGACCAGGTCGGAAGGAGGGCTGTGAGGGGCAGTCAAGCTGGCGGGGGGTGGGGGCAGTTGGGGGTGACCAGGCTGGCAGAGGGGGCCAGTGAGGGGCGACCAGGCTGGCAGAGGGGGGCAGTCAGGGGCGACCATGCTGGCGGGGCGGGGGCAGTTAGGAGCGATCAGGTTGGCAGATGGGGGCGACCAGGCCAGCAGGCAGAGGCGGTTAGGGGTGATCAGGTTGGCAGGGAGGCCAGTAGGGGCTATCAGGCAGGCAGGCAGGTGAGCAG